TTTATACTAAAAGTCATGGGAGTCTCTGAAGGGTCTTAAATAGGGTCACAGACACAGAGTGGAAGATGCCTTAGAGACACAGACAGGGCCCTACACAGCTTCCCAGTTGAGGCAACTTTGCTTAGATTAGGAAAAGGAGATCCTCGGAAACGACACAGCTCTGAGCCAGAGTGCAAGACTTGACGGCCAAGGGTGGACTGGATTTCTGTCTCCATTCAGCCCCTCAGCCAGCTGCCTTTCTGCAGTGTACAAACTGCACAGCTGCAAGGCAGTGCCCCTAGACTGAGGAACAGGTTAAGAGATTTTTGCCAGAACAATGGCAGAAGCCATGAAATAAAAAGAAAGCTAGAGATATGTTTAGAGGAGAGAAATATGAAGACTCGGTCATAAGTTGAGACAGAAGGAGTCATGGATGGCTCCCAGGTATTGCTTGGATGGGCAGTGGTCCATGACTCCTGGCTCCCAGGTATTGCTTGGATGGGCAGTGGTCCCAGACATCATGGTAAAAAATCCAGAAGGAGTACCAGCTTTGGGGAAAAGCAGATAAACTCTATTTTGGATAGGTTGACTTTATGGTTGCATGGGACAACTAGGTGGAAATGTCCAATAGACATTTGGTTTGAAGCACAGGTAAGACATATTGCTAGTAATATACATGTGGGAGTCATCAATATGCAAACAAGAGCTAAAGCTGTGGGAGTTAAGATCGCCTAGGCTATGGGTAGAGTAGAAAAGGTGAGGATTTACCAAAGATTTCACTTCAATCTTTTAGTCCTTTATTGACAGCGCCTGCAATAGATCGTGGATGGAACAACTATACTTTCTTCTTTCTCATTTTTTTAATTCATCCATTTATTTATTTACGTCTGGAGGAGCAGTACTTGCCATTTGGAAACCTGCTCTTAAGCTTTCTTACAGAGGAGCAATTGATTTTCCCATCAAATCTTGTTTAAACATTAGCTGTGAGGGTGCAGAGAACCAAACACTCAAAAATAGTTTCTGGGAATGGGCCTTTGTCTTTTTAGGTCTGACCTGTAATTGTCCAAAAGTGTACCTGATGACTTTGGCATTAGGCGCCCTAGGAGCTGTTTGGTGTCTGGCTAAATCTTGAGTTTGCTACTCCAAAAAAGGAAACTGAAGCAACTAATTGGATGAAATTGGATAAAAGAAGCTAAGCATGACCATGAATTGCAGAAAATCCAGGCAAAATGGTGTTTCAATAACAACTATGCTTTTCTATCACCACCAATTAGAAATGCAAGAAGGCAGCTGAGCTTGGAAATGAAATGTTATCAGCTTGATTGTGATGCTGTCTCTTGTAGCCACGTGCTAAAACAGAGCTGTGGAATGGAACCACATTCCAACGGACTCTTAAGCAAAGCGTCTGGAATTGTTAATATCCAATGACAGTAAAGACCTTGTTCTAATAACGTTAAGTGAAAAATAAGAAAATAAACACTTAACTCTCTTTCATTTATTTATTCATTCAACCTACAAGTATTTACTGAACTTATTTTATGTGGCTGGCACCCTTAATTCAAAGAAGCCCCATGTGCTCCCTTGCTATATCTTTCATTATGCTGACCACTGGATTTGCCTTCATGAGTTTCCATGTCATAACCCTCAGTGGAAATGCCTACTATATGTATTCCAAGAGTACCATTTTATTTGTCCTGTGGGGGTTCCCACTACTTCTCTATAACTCTAAGTAACAAGACAGCTTCTTTTATTTTTTTTTTTAATGTTTTGAAGGTTCATCCACATTGTATTATGTATCAGTACTTCATTCTTTTTTTTTTTTTTTTT